AAAAAGAGGCAAAAAAAAAAAATTCTGGTCTATGTTGAAGATTGTGGTCTTTTGAAGAATTAGCTGCATACTAGGGGGCTTCAAGAAACTCATGAAAAAAAAATGGAGTGAAAAGATAAAGGAAATTTTAGTTTGTGGGGAAAAAAATCCATGATCTTTTTATGAACGTTTTGAAGCCAGTTGTATAAGCAAATTGACGGCATGACTCAAAAGTTAAATGCAAAGCTAGGCCAATTATTGTCTAATTTGTTTCTCAAAAACTTGTTGCATACAAGCCTGCATCTCCATAAATTATTTAATAACTCCTATTTGGGCCTTAGGACATCCTGCTGGTGATGTGATGCAGGCATTGGGCCGCTAACAGAAAGACAGTGGTTTAAACTCACCAGCCACTCTGTGGCTGTCTGCTCCCATAAAGAGTTCTAACCCCAGATACCCTCTATACGGTTGCTCAGGGTTGGGCTTGACTGGATGGCAGTGGGTCAGGGTTTGAGTTCGGTCCCGGGGGTGCAGTGGTTTCAATGTTGGGCTGCTAACTAAGAGTTTAGCAGTTTTAACCCAGCTGCCACCCTATAGGAGGAAGATGAGGCTGTCTGCTTCTGTAAAGATTTACAGCCTTGAAAACCCGATGGGGCAATTCTTCTCTGTCTCATTGGGTCCCTAGGAATGGGACTGGAGCTGGCAGCCATGAGTTTGCCCTGACCCCAATTCCGTGACCGTGTCTGTGAAGGGTTAAGCATTCAGGGATAAAAATCCTGTCTTTCTTTGATGGGGCATTTCTTGGCTCTAAGTTTGAAGTGTTACCTGGTTTGCGAATTGTTTTAAATGAACTTCTCTCAATTTCTTATTAGATTTTTGTTCGGGTTTGTTAAAGTCTGCTTGGCTGTACTCCAAGTCACTGTTGCAGTTCTCTGCTTCCTCCAGTCGATTCTCGAGGTCTGTGTTTCTACTACTGGTCTTTGTTATCTCCTCCCTACGCTCCTGTATTTCCCTTTGGTGTATGGCCTTTATCTTCTCTATCATTTCATCCTTTTTCTGTATTGTTTCCCTCATATCCTGTGTGACTCCAAGCAGCATACTGAAACTTTCTTTCTCTGGCAGCTCAATGTCTGCTTCTTCTATGCATGCTGTTAAGTTCAGTACATCTTCTACCATTGCCTTTTGTTTCTCCTGTTTTTTCATTGAGGTCATTGGGGTTGATGGCTGTTTGCATTGCGTTGTTTTAGAGGAGCCAGGTGCCATTTTCTAGGGAGTTGAAGAGCACTGTCTCTCTGGGAGACTCGTAGGAATGCTTCTTCGAACTGTCTACAGCTAATTTCACTATGGAATTAGCCTACCACTTTATCCTCCTGTGGCTTCCCTCTCAGGGGAGTGCCCCAAAAGGCTGGTGGGTTGCCTGCTTTGGTGTATGTAGAACACCACGAATGGTGGGCGGAATTGCCTTGGCCAGGTAGATCACTGTGGAGGTTGGGCAGAGGTTCCTGCAGCAGCATGAAACGTTGGTGAGTGTTGGTGGAGCTGCCTTAGACCGTGTGAGACACTAAGGCAGGTGGGAGGAAGTTCCCTCAGTCATGTAGGACCACAGAGGACAAATAGGAGCTCCCCCAGCCACACAGGCAGGAATTCCCCGCTAAGAAGTTGGGAGGAGTATCCCCTGGTGGAGGTCTGCCAGCTATCCCCAGCCTTGAGCTACGCTGCACAGGGTGGAGCTCACCTAACTGGGTGGGGGGCAGGTGTAAATGCCCTAGGCTAAGGGGAGTGCTCTGTAGGTCAACAGTGGTATGTGAGAGAACAGGAAAGATACAAAGACCAGGAAAAAAATTAAAAAACTAAGCCCGCTGAGACTGTGTGTGTGTG